TTGACATGAATTGCTAGAATTTCATGTATATTGGGTTCCATATTTGTGTTTAGTCATCTTCTTATAATTTTTAAATGTTTAAAAATAAAACAACGAAAGCAGCTACCAAAAGGAGCCATCACACTTTTCTAAGCATGGTGACGAGCATGCCCCAAACTGAACCCTGGCTCCAGGATTCCTGTGGAAGAGGCAGTGAGGTCATTCCTGTCTTTGGTCTTGATGGTCGCAGCGCACCTCTTGGAACCAATTTGGGTGTACTGGCTGAGTTCTTGGAGCATCTGCTCTGTCTTGTGCCTGTAGCCATAGCCATGTCTGGTCAGGCCCTTGTGGATGATGCTTATTTTTCAGGCACAGTAATTCTTCTGTAAGACACTTGTTTCCAGACTGTTTCTCCAGTATTGGGGTACTCTAAAGATGCAGAGTCTGATTCAGGATGAGTGCCTGAGCATGTTTCCTTGTACAGAGGAGTTTGACCTGCAGAGGGAGGAATAAGGCCCAGGGTGTCAGGACCAGCATAAAGGAGCATCCCAGATTTTCTCGCAGGTCGGTGCTAAGGTGGGCCCAGACCTACTCATGGGGCCGTTGCTCACCTTTTGGCCCATCTCTGTGTTCAGTGACATCATATCGGTGGATGCTTGGCGGCAAACACTAGTACACCACTGCGTATACTGTGCGCTGGGAGCCATACCTTGGGCCCCTGTTCTAGAGCCAGGATCCTCAGCTTTCTTGCCGCGAGCCTCAGACTCAGCCCAGGCTCTTCCTCAGCCTTGTGGTTCCTACCTCCTACCTCATGCTGACCCTAGCCTGAGCCTGTTAAGTTCACTGCCTGTTTTTATAAATAACATTTTATCCAAAGACAGCCATGCCATGCCCATGTATTTACATGTTGTCTAAGGCTGCTTTGACCAAAAAGCCAAAAATGCTCAACATCTGGCTCTTAAAAGAAAAATACTGCCAGCTTCTCTTCTAGAGTTTGCTAGGAATCTGGTTCTGGACACATTAAGATATCTTGGGTTAAAAAGAGATTAGGGGCTGGGTGCAGTGGCTCACACCTGTAATCCCAGCACTTTGGGAGGCTGACATGGGAGGATCACTTGAGCCCAGGTTTGGAAGCTGCAGTGCACTGTGATCATGCCACTGCACTCCAGCCTGGGCGACAGAATAAGACCCTGTCTCAAAAAAGAAAAAAAAAATTTTTTAAAAAGATTAGAATGGTTCAAGTTGCGAGGAAGCTTCAGCAACTTTTCTGTTTCTAGGATAAAAGCAATCAAATAAGGCGGAGCCTTCTTCACCATATCCTATTTAAAATTACAGTTATATCGTTAGAATGCTCATTGTTATGGGACCTGTGTTCCAAGTCCGAGGTGTGGTGTATAAATGGCCTTCCTAGGCGTTTGCCATTTTTGTAACATTGCAAGAGGGTCAGAAGAGCAGGCTTCCCTCTGCACTGTGTCCCTTACATAGCTCCATGGAACCTGTTGGGTAGTGCGTATGTTTCCTGCAAAGGCAGGAGTCCGACTGAGACTGGGGTAAGGCTAAGGGAGCTGTCTTTCCAAATGAGCGTCCTTCCCAGGAGATGGCATGAAAAGTTTCAGCTCTCCCCAGGCCCTTACTACTCCTGGGGCTCCCCTTCTCCCTCTGCTGTCTCGCTGCAAGCCTCAGACCCGGCCCAGGCTCTTCCTTAGCCCTGTGGTTCCTACCTCCTGCCTCGTGCCAGCCCAACCTCTGTTCATTGCCCTCCGACATGTTGATGCTCATCTAACCCCCTTCTTGGGGAGCTGGAGCTGGAGTGGGGCATAGTTAGAGCAGCTTGCCTGAACCGACAAGGGTCTAGCCTGGAGCACTGGGCTCTGGAAGCCAAGCTTGTATGTAGGTTTTCATGTTGTGGGGGAGTCGTGCAGTCAGTCTAGTAGGTCACCAACCAACATTTTAAAAAAGAAAAGAAGAGGCCAGGCGCAGTAGTAGCTCACGCCTGTAATCCCAGCACTTTGGGAGCCCGAGGTGGGTGGATCATTTGGGTTAGGAGTTCGAGACTAGCCTGGCCAACATGGTGAAACCCTGTGTCTACTAAAAATAAGCTGGGGGAGTGGTGGCGCATACCTATAATCCCAGCTACTCAGGAGGCTGAGGCAGGAAAATCACTTGAACCTGGGAGGCAGATGCTGCAGTGAGCTGAGATAGTGCCACTGCACTCTGGCCTGGGTGGCCAAGTGAGATTCGGTCTCAAAAAAAAACAAAAACAAATATCAGACTGCATTGCATGTCGTGAGGGAAAGCATTGGAAAATAGCACTTTAGTTTCAGTGTGTGTATGTTCTACCTATACACATTTGGGGATAGGTATGCACACATAAATATGCATCCGTGTTTGTACTGACCATCACTCTGCCCCACACCACTTCCCAATGCCTTTCATGCAGTTGGCTGCCATGAATGTGCTTGGGAATCAGTGAGCCCCCATCCTCATAGCCTGCACTTGTGTGTGTGCTTCCCGCCATGTGCCTTTTGGATACCCAGACTGTGTGTCTGCTCAGGTCTCCCAGATGACTCAGGCCTGTACCGCGGACAAACCCTGTCCCTTCTGTGGCAGTCACTCAGTGAGGTAGGGTCCACCATCCTAGAACCATTATTTAGGTTCCTTGAGGATTTTAATTCTCTACCATCACACATGGGCCTGATGCAAATTGGCTTCCACATGCCTGCCCTTCATTCCTCCCACCCCAGATTCCAAGACCCTCCCACCTACACCCAACCTCAAAGAACCAGTCATGTGGAGCACTCCTAGGAGAACGTGGAAATCTTTGCTATCATTACCCTGTGTTTAGGGAGGCTTTGGAAACTGGAAAATGCTGGAATCTCTTTCCAACAGTATAAATAGCACCTCTGTGTTAAACCCCACCTGTACACCAAGTGAGGGGCGCATTCTCATATTTTTTTCTGTTTAGTGTCCCATAAGCAGAAAACTTTGAAAAGCAGATTTTCAAGGTAATTTTTATTGGACCAAAGTATTCAAGGGTGCACACCTGTGTGTTGTGCAAGGGTCAGTTTCACTGTGATGACATGGAAAGGATCCAGAGACCCAGATGCCCCTTCTTAGGAGACCTGTGCCAGTTTATTCCATGTGGGAGCTCTCGCCTGCTTCCGGCAGGTCAGGAGGCCAGCCTGGCCTGGGCCGCGTCTGCTCTTCCCTCCCAGGCCACCTGCTTGTCTGCCACCCAGAGTCGGCACTGGCAGTTTCAGAGGGAAGAGAAGAGCACCTCCTTGGTAGGGAAGGCGTCAAGTGCTTGAGAGGCTGGCAGGAGGCAGCTGGCACCAGGGCAGAGGTGCAGATGCTTCAGGTGTCCAAGACCCTGTGCCCACTGCCACGGGCAGCTCTGGTCTCACTTCTCACTGTCCTGTCCCTGTTTCCCTTCTGCTGTCTTGTTCTTTCTCTGCTTGCCCACTCTCCTTCCCTCCCATACCTACTTGATCATTTTTCTTCCTTGCCCCTTCGAATCAGGGTCTGGGGTCTGGGTCTGTTTAGATCTGAAATAGATGCTGACTCTAGGCTCTCAGGTGACTCCTGGCATGCATTTGGGGTGACCTGATCAAACTTAATCATAGTTTTAAAGATGATTAAATTTTCAGCTATATTGACAATTGAATACAATCAAATGTGACTATTCAAAGTGTACCATTTGATTACTTTTGGCATATATAGCCATGAAACATTAAACATAAATGAAGAGAACTGAGAAGCCATAGGGAGAAGTCTCTTTCTGCGCCAATGGGAATCATGAGTCAAGATACTCTTATTAAATAACTGTGTAATTGTATGAAGTAAATATATATATTTTTATCGGGGTACAGATTAATGCCATCCATGAAGTTATCTTTGTTAGGAAGAAATGGAAAAATACATGTGTGTGTGTGTGTGAAACACACTGGCACAGTGGGCACAGGGATGAGAGGAAGGCCTTACAGTGTTTTGTATATTAATCTAGAAAAGATTCTAAAAAGCTAAGAAATAGAAATGGACTTCTTTTGGGTGTGATTCATTTGCTGATCAGTCTCCATTTGTTTGGGTCTAAAATGAAATAGTTACATTTTTCTCCGATCCCTATCCCTAGCTGGGCTTTGTCGTTTCCCAGGGTGCTAAGCCCTTACCATAATTTCAGGTTTAAACCTGAGATCTCCTGCCCAGGTGTAGGCTTGTGGGGGTAGCCTGTGGCTGGGGGAGGATCTGACCTGATTCTTCTCCTGATTTCTTCCAGGCATGGGGAGAAGAGAGGGAGGGGGCACTGTCTCTCAGTAGGTCCCTCTGAGTGTCGCAGCTGCTCCCCTTCGGACAGCCCTTCATGTCCTTTCTGGCAAGCGGCCACAGCTGGCTTTCCCCAGGAGCCTGGGTCATGTGTTCCTCCAGCCCAAGGGAATAGGAAGGGCCTGACGACCTCGGCTTTCCTAGGCCCAGGACAGCACAGGGCTGTGGCTCTGGGGACGACCTCGGCTTTCCTAGGCACGGGACAGCACAGGGCTGTGGCTCTGGGGACGGCGTCGGCTTTCCTAGGC